TACTTGGGGCGGGGAAGAGGAGGTGATTTTCGGCGGCTTTCCTGAATGGCAAGCGGCATTTGCCAACTTGTTGAAGTCCCATCAAGCGTTTCAGAATTTTAAGTTTATGTTGAATTGTCAGAGCTGGAGGCATTAGTTTGTATTTACATTTTTTGTTGTTGCATGTTTGCCCAATTGCATTTGCCGCAAAATTGCACGCGTTTTAGCTTGTGGCAATAATCAGCTGTTAATATATGGCGAACAGCTGTTTGACTGCGAGACACACATTACAAAGGGCATTGTACAACACTGAGAAACTGCTTCAATTTCGTTGGGACAGCAAAAGCCAAGACAATGTTTATTTTGGTGTAAGAAAGAGAGAGCACGATAGTAAACATCGGTTGAAAAGAGACAGAAACTCAAAGTAATAGATTCATTTAAAGTATAACTGGAGGCATTTCACTGATATAATTATTTTTATAAATTAAAAACAATTGTTTATTGGTTTATATTCACGTACTTTAATTTGGCAGCCTCACAACTCGAAACAGCTGTTGATATCCGGCAAGTAGCTCGTCCATACAGCGTTGTCTAGCACTGTTCCCTTACAAGCATTTGCCGCACACGAAACAAAAACGGTTTGACTTTGTGCGACAGAGAAGGCTGGTAAGCATCAGTTAAAAAGAGATAGCACATTGTATTTGAGTATTGAGTATTTTAAATGAAATATTGCATATTTCATTGAATCTTGTATAATGAAAATATATTTCTCTTGCTTATTGCCTATATTTGAAATCGGGCAATCATTTGTTAGCCTCACTGAGCGGTCTTTGGAGTAGCTTGTCGCTGTTGGCGGCACTAAACATCGGCTGGCGACGGACGATCTTCGGATTGGGATGCTGGGTAATTGCTATGTGCTTCTGGAGCTGCTGCTTACGCATGAAGTCCTCGTCGCAGACAACGCAGGCATAGGGCTTCCGAATGCTGTGCACGAAGTGATGAACGTTGCGATTTTCGGGTCGACTGAACTGCTTGCCACAGATTACGCAGCTGTAGTTCTTTTTACCGGTGTGGCAGAGCATATGCTTCATCATATTTATCGGGCTGACGAATGTTGCCTCACAGAACTCGCATTTCACATCTCGCACCTGAGTGTGCTTCGACTTGATGTGGTTAGCCAGCAGGCGCCTGCGTTTAAAGCTGCGCTCGCACTGGTCGCACTTAAAGCTCGTCCTATTTTCGTGGGTGGCCAACAGGTGACTGCGCAAGTTGGCGCGTTGCGCAAAGGTTGCATGACACTGGTCACACTTGTAGGGTCGCTCGCCCGTGTGCACACGCTCGTGATCCTCCAGCCATTGGCGCCGACCGAACGTCTTCCCACAATACCCGCAGCGGTTCTTGGCATGTGCCTTCGATTGTTTGCCAGCTGCTATAGAGGAACAGAAAAAACTTGACATTAGCTAAAATTATTCTGATGATAGATAATTTGAGCACGAACCACCTTGCTTCATTTTGTAATTATCTTCCGGCTCCTCTTCCTCGTCGCTATCGCAGTCGTCATAGTCTATATTGTTGATCTCCGTGTCTGTGTTCGTGTCCGTGCCCGTGTCCGTGCCCGTGTCCGTGTCCATCTCATTAATTAGTTCTACATCATCTGGGCATTGCTCCAGAATGTTTATATGTTCGACATTGGGTATTGTGTGCTCCTCGACAAAGTCCGACTCGAGCAAGCTGTTGTCCTCGCTTAGAAGCTCGTTTTCATCCTCCTCCTCATCCTCCTCCTCTTCCTCTTCCTCCTCTTTCATAATTAGTCTTCCATTTAGCTCAAGTGTTAACATATGTTTTTGTTGTATTTCCAGCCGTGCCGCAGTCACTTGATTCTCTAATGCCTCGAAGTTGAGCAGGCTCACCTTGCAGGTGCTGCACACAAACTGCGAAATATGAGAGTATTGAGTTCATTGATATTAAGGAACACTCTTCCTCTCTTATGCTCACCGTGGAGTGAAGCTGCTCTTCCTGCAGTTCATAGCCCAGGACTATTGCCAAAATGTTGGCCAGAGTCTTCAGCTCAATGCCGTCCGCGTCGTAGCGCTGGTCGAACATGTGCTCGTATACCTTATTGTCCTCAAATGTGCAGTTGCACAGGTAACAACGTAGTATGCTCTCCGCCCTAACCATTTTTTATTTTTCGTAAAACTGTCTCTGCCAATTTTTAACATTTGAGCTGCTGAAATATATGTCAAAAAGAATATATCGATAGACGATAACGAACCGAAAAAATTTTATTGCGGGACGTTCAAAAACTACAGCTTAAAGTGAAAAAAAAAAAATAAAATAAACAAGTAATATCAACCAAATTATTCGAAGTCGTTCAGTTTATATTAAAAAAAAAAAAAAAAAAAAAAAATAAATAAAAAAAAGAAATATATAACTTAAGCTAACTAACTGTAAGAAAGTGCAAATAATTAATGCAAACGGAGATTTCCTTTATACACTTCATTGCGATCGTTTTAAAGTAGAAGCTGTAGCTTTATCAATTCGGTAGTGCTGTTTACGCAAGTTTTTAAATTAATATTAACGAATAATTAAACATTAATAAGTAATTAATTTTGCTGGCGGTGCATTAAATACCAAATTTTGAACAAACTTATCGGGGCTGGTCACACTAGCAGCAGTCATATTCAATTTCGATAACAGTAAACGATAAGCCAAATAGAATCTAACATTGCCAATTCGATTGTGGAGTTCTGCGGTGCCGGAATAAATAAATGTTCGTTGCTCGCTGGCGCATACCAATTAGTTAAAAATAAAAATAAATAACATTCAAGTGCTTGCGATCGTGTGTATTGGTGCGTGCTACTTGTTGTCGCATACACAACTATGAGCGGCATTTGTTCAATATTTTGTTCTTCTGTCCATTGTTTTTCTTTTATTTTTTTGTAGTGCAATTGTGGGTGAAATTGAAACTGAAATTTGTGAAGTGGTTTGCGCGCGTTTCTTTTAACTTACATATATATATATAATATAATATATATATGTTTATATTGCCGGTTGATCGTTGCAGAGAGTGACTTTAGCTGAGTGTTTGCTGATTTAGGCGGCGTCAATAGGAAACCAATAAGCAGGCAATAACAGAATGCACACAAATTTTTGTTTACTTCCAATAAGAATTTGACACACAGCAGCAACCCCAACTAGAATGTGAAGTAAAGGCGGCCGCTAGGGGTTATTTTTTCTCGTATGTATGTGTGTGTGTGTGTGTGTACATATATGTGAGTAATTTGTGTGTTTCTATTGTTGCATAGGCTGTCCTGCTTTTTGTTCTAAACAAAATATACGTATGTATGTAAAAAAGCGCCGAAGATGAGCTCATGATAAGCGGCGTTTGCTCTCAATATTTATGCATATTTTTTAATATCACACGCACACACACTCGCTCATACACACGCACACAAGTCAAACATCCTCGCAGCAATAGTAACTTCGCGTCGCTGCCGCAGCGCTGCCCAAATGCTTCAATGTTTGCGTCATGCGACCGCCACTAGACCAGTTCAATGGGACGCCATTACACGCTGTTGTTGTTGTTGTTTCTGTTCTAATTTTATTTGGCGTACGCTGCTGTTGTTTGGGTGATGCGATGATTTGGCTTGTTTTTTTTTGTTTTGTAATGAGCGTATTAAATTTATATAATATAATTCAATTAACAAGGGAATTTTGTTTCGAATTATTTTACTTTTGCTATGCGGACAGAAAAGCTCGATAAAATCGCTATTAAGAGCATGTGCGAGTGTGATTTACACAATTGATGCTCAATTGCTTAGAACAAGTTGTTATCGTTGTTGTTGCTGTTGACGCCGCCCCAACATGTAAATGCAGGCACAAAGCAAAACAAAATACATATGGGAAAACAATAGCTCGCAGCGTGCCGATGCAAGTATAAATAAATGTAGCATACTCTGCGGCGGCACCGGAAATACTCGCGGCACAAAAAGTGCTTCCTGCTTGAATTCGAATTTGAAGCGGATTTCATTTCTTTTTATTTCACCTTTGTTTACTTACACATACGTATATCTACATTGTTCTGTTGTTTATCGCTGTTGCCGCAGTCTTCGATTAGAGACCAGAGGAGCCGACAATCCTACGCAAACGTACAGGATTCAAAGTGAATTAGCCAATTAGGAGGACAGCCCCAACGACAGAGTCTTCCAGCATGGGCAACATACACACAACGGGCCCCAATGAGGCGTTAATTGTTTCAGGTGAGCTCACAAGCTGATGATCTTAAGATATATCATTACAATAAACAATTATGGATAACCGACTCGAAGTCTCCTCTCGAATTTCTGACTTGATTTCATCTCAACTTCAACTAGTAGTTGTTATTTTTAGGTTTTCTTGATTGCATACTTCGTGGCGCTTAGCTTGAAATTGTTTCGCATACTCCTGAAAACTTTTGCTGTTTTTCAAGAGTTCTGAAATTGAACTAGCCATATCTATATACTATATCTATATACTATACTGATACAAAGTAGATTTGCTAAAGTGTGATATGTTGACACTTTAAAGTATCTCGAGGGGAATTACCGCCTATAAAGAAGTTAAAATATAAACGAGATATCAAATAAAAAAGATATCTTATCAACAATTTGCAATGTGTTGTTTTGAGATTGCGGAATTTTGAGAGATATACAGTAAGCGAGAGAGAGAGGGTAAGAGAATGAATGATAATGAGTGGGAGGGAGATAGAGAGAGATAATTAGATGAAGAGAGAGGCCGAAAGTTAACTACAGTGAGAAGGAGTAAGAATAAGAGAGATCAGAGAGAGTGTGGAAGAAAGAGAGAGAGAGAGAGAGTAAGTGAGTAAGAGAGATAGAGAGTGAGTAAGCCAGATATAGAGAGAGAGTGAGACTTAGAGAAGGATAGAGAGAGACAGACACACAGAGAGAGAGAGAGAGGGTAAGAGAAAGAGAGAGAGAGAGACAGGAATAGAGAGTGAAAGTGAGTAAATGAAAGAGAGAGACTTGGATAATAAAAAGAATTTGCGAGCAATTATTTTGAATATATCAAAATATTCTCATATACTTGATATCTACATACAAACGCAAACTTAGTCTAGAAATCAGTAATTGATCTTCAGATACATATACATACACATATATGGCTACCACTAATCAAATCGGATACGAGCAAATATTTCATTATGTCAGCTATTACATTTCCTATCGTGTGTTAATCACCCTGCTATCAGCCTATCAGCGGAGCACTCAGTGAGCCAATAAATTGAATTGATTTTTTTATATAATTGAATTGAATTATGTGTAGATAAGAAGGTGTTGCCTTTTACTGTTATCTATGAGTTATCAACGCACGATCCGCACTTAAAAACTAATGCTGTTAACTGAAAATAGGATTTCATTTGGGGTATTCCCGATTATTGACGTTGCTGGCGCCCCTCTGAAAGCCCCCTGATGATGCATATTGAAAGTGTTGTTGCTTTGCTGCCCGCAACAAGGCTGACAACCACAACAGCAGAACAAACAACAACAATGGGAAATTTGTTTCCCTCTCAGCCGCTTCCTCTGCCTCTGTCACTGCCTCTGCCTCTGCCTCTGCCACTGCCTCTGCCTCTGCCTCTGCCCCTGCATACTGATAACCACTTGTAAGCACCACTCCCATCGACTGCAAGTCAACTCATCTAGCATTCTAGCAATCTCCCCCCCAGCACTCTTTTCATCCGTTCAACGGGCGAGCTAAACAATTCGCAACCCCCCTTTGACTGCCTCCGCCGAGCTCACTCTGTTGGGCTTTGGGTACAGCCAGCAGCATCCGTTGGCAAGTTTCAGTTTTCATGTTTTGACTATTTCATGGCTGGCGGCATGCAAACCACCCCGTTGGATAAGTATATCGTGGCTGTGCCTAGTCGAAACGAAAGTATTTCAACCCTCGTTACTTGGGACTGGGTGAATGCACTCTGCGGCCGGTCAACCCCCAGGCTCCAGCTCAGCTCAGCTCAGCTCCCTCTTCCCCGTTCTCTTGCCCTCCCGTTATCCTGTTAGGCGATTTCATTTAATTAACTTGGCCGAGGCAAACAACAAGCTTGGAGCCCATCCCACCGTTACGTCAGCCACAGGACTTCGACCGCCACACTTGAATCTCAAAGCCAATCGCCTCTTATCAAGTCGGCCGCCTTCTCGCCGATCATGAAGGCTGCCGCATTCGTGTGGGCGGTGGGTGAAATGGGAATGACACTGGTGTCCACGACGCGCAGCTTGCGCATGCCGTGCACCTTCAGCTCCGGGCTGACCACAGCAGTGGGATCCGTGGCTGGTCCCATGCGGCAGGTGGCCACCTGGTGGTGGAGTGTGTAGGACATGGTGCGGATGGAGCAGCGCCAGTAGTCGTCCGAGCCGAAGCGCTGATCCTCACAGCCAGGCACGGGGCGATCGAGGAGCCTGGTGCCCAGTGCCTGGAGCGCTGGCATCTGGGTGATGCGGATGGCCTCTTTGATGCCATCGAGCAGGTACTCTACATCCTCCTCATTTTGGAAATAGTTGGGATCGATTTTGGGCCAGGTGAAGGGATTACGGTTGTGCAGCCAGAGACGACCCACCGACTTGGGATGGAATTGCATCACAAGCAGCGTGAAATGATCCTGACTCGCCAGCTGCAGCGGCCTGTAGAGCGTATCATAGATCTCATCTTTGAAGTTGGCGCCCATTTTGAGTGCTGTGCCCTCATCGCTGGCTAGACTGCCCGCCACGAATATAAACTCTAGATCCGGCCAGTCGTCGGGCCGCTGTGATCGAGGCGATTTTAGAAAGGTCAACGCCTCGACACCCCCAATGGAGCTGAGACGCGTTGCCGGATTGCCAGCCAGATAGAAGGACAGTATGTCAGACAGGGTAACACTTGTTGGAAATATCGTCTGGCCCGTGGTGTTGGTCACAAAGGTGGGTCCAAAGTGGCACATGTGATCGTACAGCAGCTTGCCCACTGGCAGGGCCTGCACCACGGGCAGCCCGATAGCTCGCAAATTATCCTCCGGCCCGATGCCCGACAGCATCAGCAGCTGCGGCGAGTTGAAGGCCCCCGCGGAGAGGATGACTTCCTTGTGCGCCCTAAACTTGTATGTGCGCTGTTTGTAGACCAGTTCAATGCCCTGCGCCGACTTGGTAGCCACGTCGATGAGCACGCGAGTTGCCCTGGTGAACGGAAAGACGTGCAGATTGGGCCTCAGCCGACGCACGGGCTGTATGTAGGCGGAGTACGCGCTATGCCGGCGCCCATTGAGTGTGTTGGCCTGCACATAGGATACCCCAAGCTGCGACTGGCCGTTGTAGTCGGTGCGTGAATGGCCCGCCTGCTCGGCGGCACGCACATACGCGTGGACCAAGCTGCTGCGGTAGCGGACATCCTCCACGCTGAGGGGCCCGCTGTGGTTGTGATAGGGCGAGTGCTCCAGGCCCTGCAGCTGAGCGGACTCGCTGCGCAGGAAGTAGGGCAGCACCTCGTCGTAGCTCCAGCCGTGGTTGCCCCGCTCCGCCCAGGCGTCAAAGTCGCGTCGATTGCCGCGATTGTAGATCATGAAGTTCATGGAGCTGGTGCCGCCCAAAATCTTGCCACGCGGCAGGGCGCACTCGTGGTTGTTCATGCCGCGACAGGCGAGCCGCTGCGGCACCGAATGATAGTTCCAATTGGAGGCGGTCAGCTGCAGCTGTCCGGCCATCACGGGCGTCAGGTGGGCAATGTTCTCGACGCCGCCCGCCTCGATTAGGGCCACGCGCCACTGGGGATTCTCGGAGAGTCGCGCCGCCAGCGTGCAGCCAGCAGCGCCAGCTCCCACCACAATAAAGTCGTAGCTAGCCGAGTTCCGAGGCACTGCGAACAGTTGCTGTCAATAGGGCGGTTCTTTCTTCAGATATTTGTTGTTGTCGTTGCTTGACTCACCATTGGGGCGCACCTCCTGCTCCAGCAAGTTGGCAAGGCCCAGTTCCCGCAGCTGCTGGATGAGCCGCGGCTCAGCCAGAGAAGCCACAAAGTGTGTTGTTAGCAGTGCCAAAAGCAACATTTTACTAATGCCACTGACTGGGAGATTAAGCTTTATAAATCTGAGTAAGGCTCTCGGATCGCAGCAGAGCAGGTCTGAATTGCGTACTTGCATTGTTTTCGGCCTCTCATAAAGTTCAACTGGAAACGAGCGTTAAATAGCCCATAAACACGATGAGGTACCCCCCTCCCAAAAGGCCACTAATTGTTGCGAGGTATACGAGTTAAGGAATTCTAATAAAGGGAAGCCCCGAAGGGCTGGCTAATTAGAAACCTGTATCGAACAAATTTAATATAAACCTGTATGCTGGCATACCAATTTCATTGCATCAATTATTAAATATATTTTATTTTATGGCTAGATGGACTGTGCAGGAAATGTCATGGGGTATACGGATCTTAAAAACTAACGGCACATTAATGCTACAGAGCCAAATGTGCCTCCAGTGGGAGGCTCGTGCAGGGGATGTTTAATGACCTAATATATGCGACGATTGACAATTTTCACTTTTTAATTGACGTGGGTTCACTTAACTTACAAATGAAATTAAAATTACTCATTACCAAAAAAAAAAAAAAAAAAAAAAAAAAAAAACAAAACAAAACAAAAAAGGAGAATTGCGCCTCTAACGGTTTTGTTCACTCTCGTTTGGGGAAGAACCCGTTGAACTCGTTCTCGCTTTTATTTACCTTCTCCACGCTCATTCACGCGAGCTTTCGGCTCGCATTTTATTAACCCATTTACTCACGCGGCTATTCATGCCCGCCTGTCAGCTTTAAGTCTCTTCAAGTTCAAAGCCAAGCGGCTCTTATCAAGTCGGCCGCCTTCTCGCCGATCATGAAGGCTGCCGCATTCGTGTGGGCGGTGGGTGGCAGGGGAATGACACTGGTGTCCACGACGCGCAGCTTGCGCATGCCGTGCACCTTCAGCTCCGGGCTGACCACAGCAGTGGGATCGGTGGCTGGTCCCATGCGGCAGGTGGCCACCTGGTGGTGGAGTGTGTAGGACATGGTGCGGATGGAGCAGCGCCAGTAGTCGTCCGAGCCGAAGCGCTGATCCTCACAGCCAGGCACGGGGCGATCGAGGAGCCTGGTGCCCAGTGACTGGAGCGCTGGCATCTGGGTGATGCGGATGGCCTCCTTGATGCCCTCTAGCAGCTGCTCCACATCCTCTTCAACGGTAAAGTACTTGGGGTCGATGCGAGGCCATTCGAGTGGGTTGCGAGTGTGCAGCCAGAGGCGGCCCACGGACTGTGGCTTGAACTGCATGACGAGGAAGGTAAAGTGATCCTGATGGTGCCAGGCTAAGTGTCGGTACATCTTCTCGTAGATCTCATTCTTGAAATTGGCGCCGTGGGTTAGGCCCGTGCCGTCATCGCTGGCCAAGCTGCCGGCCACCTGGATGAGCTCGATGTCGGGCTGATCGTGTGGCGTTTGCGCCGCAGGTATCTTGATGAAGGTCAGCGTCTCCACACCCCCAATGCTAGATAGCCGTGTGTCCGCGCGTCCAAGCAGAAAGTCCTTCAATGCGGGCAGTGTCAGACTCGAGGCGAATATCGTCTGGCCCGTGGTGTTGGTCACAAAGGTGGGTCCAAAGTGGCACATGTGATCGTACAGCAGCTTGCCCACTGGCAGGGCCTGCACCACGGGCAGCCCGATAGCTCGCAAATTATCCTCCGGCCCGATGCCCGACAGCATCAGCAGCTGCGGCGAGTTGAAGGCCCCCGCGGAGAGGATGACTTCCTTGCGAGCGCGCACTTCGAAGCGACGACGGCCGTGCAGCAGCTCCACGCCGATGGCGGATTTGGTGGACTCGTCAATCAGCACTCGCGTGACCCGAGCCATGGTCAAAATGTGCAGATTCTTGCGCAGCGGTCGCACAGGCTCAATGTAGGCGCTGAAGGCGCTGTGCCGTCGACCCTTCAGCGTGTTGGCCTGCACATAGGAAACGCCCAGCTGCGACTCCCCGTTGTAGTCGGTGCGTGAATGGCCCGCCTGCTGGGCGGCACGCACATACGCGTGGGCCAAGCTGCTGCGGTAGCGGACATCCTCCACGCTGAGGGGCCCGCTGTGGTTGTGATAGGGCGAGTGCTCCAGGCCCTGCAGCTGAGCGGACTCGCTGCGCAGGAAGTAGGGCAGCACCTCGTCGTAGCTCCAGCCGTGGTTGCCCCGCTCCGCCCAGGCGTCAAAGTCGCGTCGATTGCCGCGATTGTAGATCATGAAGTTAATGGAGCTGGTGCCGCCCAGACCCTTGCCGCGCGGCAGGGCGCACTCGTGGTTGTTCATGCCGCGACAGGCGAGCCGCTGCGGCTGCGATTTGTAGTTCCAATTGGAGGCGGTCAGCTGCAGCATGGGCGCCAGCACCGGTATCATATGCATTAAGTTCTCCACGCCGCCCGCCTCTATCAAGTACACAGTCCAATTGGGGTTCTCGGAGAGGCGCGCCGCCAGCGTGCAGCCAGCGGCGCCAGCTCCGACCACGATGAAGTCGTAGCTGCCACGAGGCACTGTGGAAGCAGTCGAAGGAGTTGAAGCAGTTAGGCGCAGCCAAAGATTGTGGAGGACTGAGAGAGCACTTACGATCGGTATAGTTGGGCAGATTGATAATGTTGCCCAGACCCAGTTGACGCAGCTGCTCTACATTGAGTTGCTGTTGCCTCTTTGTAGTGGCTGCTGCAAGGGCCAAGGCAAGAAGCAGAACTTGGCCCAGTGGAAAGCTCTGCCTGATCATCATTGTAGAACCGTACGCTCGGTCGATTTGCTGGCAACTGTGCCGGTGAAATTTGGTATCTGGTCCATTTCAATGCTGTCTGCGCACAGTGGGGCAGCTTCTATTTTAGCTGCATGAAAACTTTCTTTGTAGATCAACTGAAACCCTTTAGGGTTTTGTGCTCCCAATTTACTTTAGTCATTCAGCTAGCTACATTTGCTACATTTTGTATATGATAGTTAGCTCCTACACCATCCAAGATTTGTGTGCATCTTTAAGATAAATGCTTGTTGGCATTTTCATTTCCTGCTTCTTAGTCTGCTGAAAGTTTCCATTTCTCTCTGCTAATTGCTATCGTTTGCAATATCTTTCGTGGCACTGTGCAGGTTTGGCTTCTTTAGCTTCTGGTGCTTCACTCATCTGTACGCATTTTATTGCTGGCGACCCATTAGCGTTTGCTGCCTTTCTTGCTGGCCCACTCTCTCTGTCTCCATCTCTCTCCATCTCTCTCTCTCTCTCTTTCTGTTTCGTTCTTTGTTTCGCATCCAACTATATGACTCTTTAGCTCAGTCTTGGCTTGACTTGGCTTGGCTTTTATGCGTGGCCGGCTCAGTTGGCATTTTGACGGCTTCATTTTGGCCGCTTGCAGAAAACCTACCGGTTATGGGGTAACTGTATCGACAGAGCAGTGGAAACTGTAAACACTTGTTAGCTGACAGCCGGAGCAATGTTCTTCTGACTTTATAATTCGGCGACTTCAATTTTGAATCGCTGTCACTGTGGCCTACCAGCCAACCCTGTGAGCAACCCCATCAAATGGTCGCTTATTATTTGTATACCCTGTAATGTTGCAATGCATATCAAAGAGGGGTATTCTAATTGGATTAAAAATTACATATAGGGAAAACTATCTATGTCTATATATCATTGGCAGATACTTCTGGAGTTTCGAATAGGGTAACTATAAATATTGACTTAAGACGACTTTTTTTGGGGCTTTTAGCAATTACTCTTAACAATAAATATATTTTATTTATTTAATTAAATTTCATCTAATTTATTTATCTCTCTATATATAATGCCCAAGAAAATTTTCTTTCTGATAAATTATAAATTTTCCGAGTAGCATTGGTTTCGACCGGTCTTCTTTATTATTGATCAATTATTATATATATTTTTTTATTTCATGTAATTTATATTATTTATATACAGTCGAGTCTCTATAATTTGTACTCCTATAAATCGAAAATCGCGATAAATCAAAAGAAATGCTGTCCCCCTAAAAAAAATTCGTTCCCAATAATTATCGATAGTTTAATTTTCTGAGTAAATCGAAAAAAAAAGACTGATTCTATTGTCATTTTGAATTATCGGGACTCGACTGTATTTCAGTTTAATAAGAGAATATAACTTAACTTTGGAATAAGTATACCCGTTTTCGTCTCTTTATATTATTATAATTATTATTTTTATACCCTGAACCCATTGAAAATGGGAAATCAGGGTATAATGGTTTTGTGAAAAGTATGTAACAGGCAGAAGGAATCATCGCAGACCCCATAAAGTATATATATTCTTGATCAGGACGACGAGCTGAGTTGATATAGCCCTGTCCGTCTGTCCGTCCGTCCATCCGTCCGTCCGTCCGTCCGTCCGTCCGTATGAGCAAAAGAATCTCAGAAGATATAAGAGCTAGAGAGCTGAAATTTGGCATGCATACTCGTGTATACCATAGGCAGTACAAGTTTGCTTTATTTTTTCGATAACTCATCCGATAACTTTTTTATCGAGAATAATCGAAAAATCGACTTGGTTTTTTCAGCCTAATTTTAACACTCTTAGACCTGGAGACTTCAAATTTGGGTTGTATATAAAGTTAATGGATACAAAGATTTTGTAATTTACAGATTTTGGATACCACGCCCCCTTCTCCCCCAATTTGTAAAAAACGCATTTCAAGTACTAGAGACTTGTGCTTTGGAATGTACACATATTTTAACCATATGATTACGCTCTGAAAGTTTCATTAAGATCGTATGTCTACAAAAGAAATTATTCAACAAATAAATTCTCATAATATTGCCCACATTGCAGCGCAGCCCAAGCGCAGTCGCTGCTAACTGCGCAGTCAGCAGAGCGCGTGCTTATAAGTGCATGTGTATGTATGTGTGCATAAAAGAAGTCCAGACTGATTAGAATATCAGCTTGGAGGGTTCAGGGTATCTCCTAGTCGAGCAGTCTCGACTGGAGCCTTCTTACTTGTTATTATTAATTTTTTGTATTCCTTTTTGCTTTTATCATTAGCTCTATAGCACAAATTTAAATATTCTTCAACCATAAACTAGCTAAATGTATATATTAAAATTGATTCTTTTATTTTTATTGTAAATCACCTCTGAGATCTGCTTAATTCTTTTCTATTTTGTATGGGACTCCACTAAGGTCTAATGGGTTTAGTCTCTTCAGCCTTCGTCACTCATTGTTCGTTTGTATTTGGATACAATGCCGACCAATATATGTATCTAAAGCTCTATCGGGGACTGACAGTCCGCTTCAGTTCAACTTTGTAGCGCTAAATTAATTAATATCCAATTTTCACATTCATTATTAACCTCAAGATTACCAAATGTAAATTCTGTCTATTAGCATATGTGGATTCTCGTTTCATATATTATTATCATATATTATATATTCTCGTAAATTGAATTTTATGCAAATTATCATATTTCATTTCGCTAAATATGAATCGATAAATCGATGATTATATTTGTTTGTTAGCGTATTTTGAATATTATGTTATTGGTTTCGTATAAATCATTTTTGCAGGCTAACTTCTAGTCGGACACTCTCAATTCAAGCATTTTTTACATAAATTTTATTCGGTCTTTTTTCCCATGACAAAGTTGAAAGAAAACATAATTACGAGCCTCGAACGTATCAAGCGCAATCAGGGCAGATTAAACGGGCTTTCAGTTGACAGCAACCCTCTGTCCGTCCCCTGCCCAGCATTTAGCCTTTGTTTAGTTGTGCATTGCAGCGGCTGGAAACCACCCCGCAATAGCGATGACATGCCCGGGGCGCAGACATTCGTCCGATCTGTCCGGCATATTGAAAATAAGCATGCAAGTGCCTGCAATCCCCTGGCAACCACTTGCAAATCTGTTCGTTGGTTTTTTCTTGCTTCTCCTTTTTTTTTTTTGGTCGCTTTGCTCAGTAAACTCCATGGGGCTGAGCTGCCAGCCAGTCACCTGTGCATCGTGGCCCCGGGCATCGCCCAATCTGAATTCATGAATATTTGATGCTTTGATAATGAAAGTGCCGACTTTTAGGCTGGCTGGAGGCTAACGGAGGCAGAGATAACCGCATAATCCCCAGCCACAGCTCCAATGGTGCGTTGGTTGAGGCTGCATTTATTATATAAGGAATATATATATATATATATATATCATTTTGGCAGATACTATACGCTTGAATGGTATATAAAATATGGAAATTCTTAATGAAAGTGCTTCTAGCTGAGCAAGACGAGTTTCTCTCACTACGCATTGTTTTACTGCATACTCTCCGGCGTCATCTGGAAAATGTCTTAAAATTCTAATGTCAAATATAGTAAGTTCTAAAGTACCCTGTTGTTAGTTTATTGGCCTCGTAATTATTTACGATGTGCCAAGGCGTACTAATTTCCTAATGTAAATATTCTAAGCAAGCCATAAGCTTATATATATTTTTACTTGAATCATACTCCAGCTTTATAAATATAATATATTTCTAAATTTATTTATTTATATCTATATATAAATTTCTTCTATAGAAATTCCTACATTCCGAATTTATGCGGGCGGAATATTCGCTCTGTTAGTCATCTTGTTAAAAGTTTCTTGATTATTAATTTTTAGTCTTGCAACGGAAGTGTCTTAAAACTCGTAGCTTTAAGGTAATAACAAAATATGAAGTGCAGCTGTGGGTATATTTTAAGTCAGCGTCGATATAATAAATCCAGTTTGCTTCGAGATATTCAAATATAAAGTAAGGTAATAACAAAATATGAAGTGCAGCTGTGGGTATCTTTTAAGTCAGCGTCGATATAATAAATCCAGTTTGCTTTGAGATATTCAAATATGAAGTGAAATAGTATTTTAGTTAGTTTGTGCCAAATCAAGGCAACGATAGAACTCAAAATTACGAAAGCAACAATAAACTTGAGCCAATTATAGACGTGCTCGTTAGGCGTCGACTAGTAAATACCCTGTATGCAGACCCAATAGAATCAACAATAGCCTGAAGCTCGAGAGTGATAACTAAATACATACAGGGTATTCAAGTGGAGCCCAATTATTTGAATGTCAGTCGCATATCGTTTCCGCAACAATAAAAACGAGTAACAGCATTTAATAAATCTGAAAAAGAGCTTTAACAAAAATCAACAATCAACAAAAAGGCGGCATTTGATTTGCTCGAAGTCGCAGACTTCAGGGCTTTAAATTTGTTGTTGTTACTTTTGTTGCTGTCTGTCGATTAGCATGAAAATTGGCAAAAAGGCAACTCAGAAACAATGAGAACGAATAATACATTAATCTGTGGAAGAAACTCACACAAAACGAAGTAAATGTTAGGTTTTCAATGCAAATGAAGCTAGAGAAGCATATGAATACGCTGACGTCTGAGTGAGTATGGGTAAATGCGATGAAAGAATGGAAGATATGAGAAAATAGATGTTGGTGGTGTTTAGATAAATGTATATGCATGAGTAAATAGAGGTACAGATAAACTTATAGGTATATAGGATTCAGCTATAGATACAGATACAGATACAGATACAGATACAGATACAGATACAGATACAGATACAGATACAGATACAGATACAGATACAGATACAGATACAGATACAGATACAGATACAGATACAGATACAGACAGTGATATTTCTTTATATCTGTATATATTATATAGCTATTAAAATAATTTATATTCACGAACTACAAATACAGAAAACTCCAGCTTAAGCTGAGTAATAATGAAGTGGAAATGAAACGCCAATGTCAATGTCAATGTCAAAGTCAAAACCAGTACCGGCAAGCCCCAAAGGCGAAATGTTTATCACTGTTAAAAAATCTTCGCTGGAAAGTGGAGAGGAGAGTAGACGAGTCGAGCGGTCTTAAAACCAGTAAATCATTTTAAATGTCTCTTAGAATATTTATTGTTGGCTTAGAGAGTAACTTAAATTAAAATCAGTTCATTATGGAGGTAAAGAAATTGACAAGAAGATCTAAATAGCGACCCGTTCATGTGTATCCAGAGTAGATTTCAGTTGAAGTCACTTGCAGTTGGGAATTGTAGAGCGCTGCTTAAATCTGAAGTAAGCGTAAACCTAAGCTACCGTTAGGCCCCGCACTTATTTGATATAGCCATAGTCCTGCTTGATCATATCGGCGGCCTTCTCAGCGATCATAAAGACAGGTCCATTGGGATGTCCAGACATGATCTCGGGCATGATGCTGGCGTCTGCAACACGCAAGTTGCGTATGCCATAAACGCGCAGGCGCGCATCCACAACGGCGGCGCGATCTGACTTGGGTCCCATCTTGGCGGTGCCGGAATAATGATAAATGGTGAAAGTGAAGTGCCGCACATAGCAGGTCCAGTAGGCCCAGCTCTTGTAGGGATGCTGCTTGCATGTGGGAATCTTACGCTCCCACAGCTTGGCGTTAATGGCCTTCATGCCTTGCTGCTCCATCAGGCTAATAGCCTTAAGAAGGCCACGCACCGAAATGTCGACGTCATAGGGATGGGCAAAGTAGTTGGCATGAATCAGCGGATACTTGAATGGGTCGCTGCTCTTAAGCATTATGCGACCGCGACTCTTCGGTCTCAGAATCATGGGGAAGATCATGAATGCATTCAGCGACTTGTCCTCAATCTCGGCGAACAACGCATCGTAAATGGACTTCTTTAGGCCAAAGGCACGTGATATGGCTGGATTGGAGGACATGGAGCCGCCGACCATAAACAGTTCAATATCTGGCCAGCCATCCTCGTCGCTCTCATGATCCAGATCCCAGAAGGCTATCGCTTCACAGCCTCCGGGCGAACCGTACGGCCCCTCTCTACGGTTGAAGCGCGTCAGCCATGTGGGATCGGCAAAGTCCTCGAATTTCAGCGATGTTACGTTCGTTGTGAAGGTAACCGCCGGCGCTGTATGGTCCTGTAGATTGTAGCCCACAGCCAGATCCGCAATGGGCTTGATGCCCACCTCGCGCAGGTGCTTGGCGGGACCCACTCCCGAGAGCATCAGCAGCTGGGGCGTGTTGATGGCGCCCGCCGAGACAATCACCTCTTTGCGGGCCAACACCTTCTGCATGCGTCCATCGGTCTGCACCATGATGCCATATGCGGTCTTTGTTTGCGGATCGATGAGCACCTTGGTCACCAGCGCGTTCTTCTTCACATGCAGATTGGGGCGTTTGCCCTTGATGGGGTAAAGGTACGAGCGATTGGAGCTCCAGCGCGTAGAGTTGCGTGTGGTCGTGTGCAGGAAGGCGACACCGTTCTGTATACGTCCATTGTAGTCGCGGTATTTCAAGCCATCCTGCTGCGCTGCCTCAACAAAGGCCTTCGAAATCTTGGAGCGCCAGTTCACATAGCTTATTTTCACTGGGCCATCGCGTCCGACCATGTCTTCCTCGGCATCTGGTACGCTGCTGCCCTCGTATTTCTTGAAATATGGCAGCACATCCTTCCAGCCCCAGCCAGGATTGCCCAGCTCCTCCCACCGATCGTAGTCCCGGCGATTGCCCCTTGTATACATCATGTAATTCAGAACGGAGCTGCCACCCATGACTTTGCCACGCGGCCAGTTGCAGCGATTGTTGTTCATCGCCAGGCAGGCGTGATCCGATGGCTGTGTGCGATACTTCCAGTTCATCTCGCCCAGCTGCAGAAAGTGCGCCACAATTGGTACGTCCATGACCAGGCGCTCCGGTCCGCCCGCCTCCAGCAGCAGCACGTTCCACTTTGGGTTCTCGGAGAGGCGTGCGGCCAGCGCACAGCCGGCGGTGCCAGCGCCGACGACTATAAAATCATATTCGGCGCCCATTTGTATGGTGTTGTCATAGTTCTCCAGGTCCACTTCCGTTTGGCCGCGTCGCAGAAAGTTCAGAGTCTCCAATATCACATTTTCGCTCTGGGCAGCAGCCAGTGCTAGGCCAGCCAGCAGCCACAGCAGTACTTGGCAATGACTCGTTTTGGCCATGTTCTTAGATAGCACTTCACTTGCACTTTTCAATAAGTTTGCGTACAAATAAAAAATTGTAAAAAAAAAAAAAATCAAATTTAACAGAGAACAGAGTTTTTTTTTTAGTTCTTGATTGGTTCTAAGACGTGTTCGTGCGTGTTCGCCTTCAGAGTGCGGACTGTGCGCGCATGCGTGGCCCGTGCCGTTAGTTCGTCTTGCCCAATCGGACGCTTAACTGGTAATGCTGACAATCGCTCTGGCCAAGTTCAATTTAATATTAAATATAAGCGCTGCCGTTGCGGCCGAATCGTGTTTGCGAATCTTTTTCGGCAGCGGCTGCACGATCGGCTCTGCGCTCGTTGTTTTAGCGTCAACAATAACTGCCAAGAATCTTCAGAGTAGAAACTAGCAGCAGCATAGCCGCAGCCACAGCCGCAGCAGTAGCAGCAGTAGCAGCAGCAGCAGCAGCCGCAGCATAGCCACAGCATTGCCATGACTGTCGACACGTTCACAAAATCAAATTGAAAGCCAGATTTGAGCGAACGCACTGACATTGACTTGAGCTGATCGTTCACATGATCACACAGCATCAGCTCCGACCATTGACCAAATTGCGGAAGCTGCGAAAAGCTCTGCACTTTGCAGGCGACCAAAGGGCAATCTAGGGCCCAAACGATCATCGATAGTCTCGCTCAGAGATCAATATTCTGTTGCTCGGCCGATCAATGCGGAAGGGCGTCCAGCACGCGTTCAATTCATTTTTATTACCAATAATATGTCAACCCACCGAACAGCAACACATAAATCTGTCTGGGTGATCAAGACAAGACAAGCGCCAGAGTAGAGCCAAGATCACCTATATGATATGATGTTTTATCAGAATTGATTTTTGAGTTTCGATTAATTGATTTTTCTTCATTATTCCCTTTATTGAGCAATTTGTAGTTGGGCGATCGCTGAGGCTACCGCACATCAGTTTTACGATGCTTTACGCTTTATGCCTGAGGCGATTTTCCTGCTCATTCCTCAGTTTATCAACTTTGTGGATCTTTTCAATGAATAAACACTGAGCAAAGCAGCTAATTTATATGACTTTAAACATTTATTTTATTTATTAGTTAACCCTTATAAATGTAACAACTTTTTATGTTTTTACAATCTTTCTCTAATATCACAAATTTCCCAAGACTTGGCCTGATTTCCTTTATGATTTGTCCCTTGAACAGGCATTGCGAGCACGACTTTGGTATATATATATGTATATATATCTATTATCTAGTTCCTAGGTGTAGTTGTGATCCTGTTTGATCATGTCGGCGGCTTTCTCGGCTATTAAAAAGACTGGCCCATTGGGATGACCTGCAACTAGATAGGGCATTATGCTGGCATCCACCACTCGCAGATTGCTGATGCCATGGACGCGCAGGCGGGCGTCCACCACGGCGCTGGGATCGCTGCGTGGTCCCATTTTGGCCGTGCCGGAATAGTGGTAGATCGTGAAGGTGAAATGACGCGCATAGCACGCCCAGTAGGCATCGGTCTGGGGGCCGTGGTGGCGGCAGGCGGGCAGCTTCGTCTCCAGCACTCGGGCGTTGATCGCCCGAAATGCTGGCTGATCCATTAGGCTGATCGCCTGCCGTATGCCGTGGACTGATATATTGAGATCGTAAGGATGTGCAAAGTAGTTGGCGTCGATCAGTGGATGCTGCAGCGGATTGCGACTCTTGAGCATAATGCGGCCGCGACTCTTGGCACGCAGTAGCATTGGAAAGATCATGAAGGCATTGCCATTGGTGCGCTCCAGTTCGCCAAAGACAGCTTCAAAGACGTCCGACCGGATGCCGAAGACCCGTCGCAATGCCGGATTCCAATGTATGCCGCTGCCCGTAACGAAGAGTTCCATGTCCGCCCAGTCTTTGGTATCTTCTGTGGCATCCAATGCATAAAAAGATATAGCTTCCACTCCGCCAGGACTTCGCAGTGGACCGTCACCACGCAAAAAGCTGCCAATCGTATCGGTGTTTAGGACTTTGTCTAACTTCAACGTGCTGATATTGCACCTAAAGGTAATCGCCGGCGCTACATGATCCTGTAGATTGAAGCCCACGGCCAGATCCGCAATGGGCTTGATGCCCACCTCACGCAGGTGCTTGGCGGGCCCCAGACCCGAGAGCATCAGCAGCTGGGGCGTGTTGATGGCGCCCGCCGAGACAATCACCTCCTTGCGGGCCAATACCTTCTGCATGCGTCCATCGGTCTGCACCATGATGCCATATGCGGTCTTTGTTTGCGGATCGATGAGCACCTTGGTCACCAGCGCGTTCTTCTTGATGTGCAGGTTCCGTCGCTTGCCCTTGAGGGGATAGAGATAGGCTCGATTGGAGCTCCAGCGCGTGCCGTTACCAATGTTGGCCTGCAGATAGGAGACGCCAAGCTGATCCTGCCCATTGTAGTCCCGGCGCGTCTGGCCCGCCTGCTGCGAGGCCTCCACAAAAGCCGCGGCAATTGGCGTGTGATAGTCTGAGTAGCTGATCTTGACGGGTCCCTTTCGGCCATGCCGCGCATTGCCCGAGTCCGCATCTGGTATGAGCGAGCCCTCGTATTTGCGAAAGTATGGCAGTAGCTCATCGTAGCCCCAGCCAGGATTGCCCAGTGCCTCCCAACGATCGTAGTCCCGGCGATTGCCCCTTGTATACATCATGTAATTCAGAACGGAGCTGCCACCCATGACTTTGCCACGCGGCCAGTTGCAGCGATTGTTGTTCATCGCCAGGCAGTAGCTGTTGGAGGACTGCGTGCGATACTTCCAGTTCATCTCGCCCAGCTGCAAATAGTGCGCCATAATGGGCATGTCCATGATGTAGTTTTCCGGTCCGCCAGCTTCCAGGAGCAGGACTTGCCAGTTGGGATTCTCGGAGAGGCGTGCGGCCAGGGCACAGCCGGCGGTGCCAGCGCCCACGACTATGAAATCGTACTCACGGAGCAGCTGATCGCGGTGATCAGAAGCCTCGAGATCCATTTGCCTTTGGCCACGTCGCAGCAGCTCAAGGCCATCGAGCAGGGCATTGCCAAAGTAGCTCTGGGCAGCCGCTGCGCCCAGGTACAGTAAACAGAGCAGGCGGGACTGCATAATCAACCGGAGAGTCGCGCTGACAGCGAGCAACTGAATCGACAATTAGTTCGACAATAGAATCCATTAGAAGAAGGGAAATTTCATACTTAATACTTGGTAATCGCATACATACGCGAGCGCATGTTTTAATTGCATCGAGACGTTGACTTCGGGTTGAGAATAGGTTAGAGTCGCACGCTGCGCGGGGCTAAAAAGTTAAGTACGCAATTTCATAGATATGGTACGCCAAGAGACAATTCAGAGCATGATTTATACAGTTACTACACTGTGGACTTATGGACTTATACTGTGACTTATGGTGTTACTACACTGTATGACTTATCGCTTGACAAAAGTCTGCATAAGCTTAAGGAATACAATTCAATTGATTCCCTTAATAGCATGATCGAATGTCCAATCAAGATCATAAAATTTGATCATTTATTTCAACAGTATTTAAATCATGAGAATTAATCAAGATAGAGTGGTTGGTTTCACATGATTTGAGGCTGATCTAATTATCGACTTCAGCGAGAAAAAACACAGAAATAAAGGTCGTGCTTAGTGAATGGAATAAGATCGGTGAAGCGATATTAAGAAATGTCATTCAACGAAATCTAGTTTTGATGATATCTGATAATTTTGAGCGATTAACGATATTGAACTTATATCCGACACGAGAACCCGAAATCTGGCACACTTTAAGTGTCGAAACAAAAAAAGAAAAACAAGAAACAAGTTATGTGAGCTAGCCAAAAATGGCTGTATATAGATTACATTGTTATCGGTAGGGACTATTTTAGGCAGAAAATAACTTTTAGGGGTATATGAAGTTTAATGGTTCGCCTGAGCAATTTCCGGCACGTCATTAATATTATGTGGTATTAATAGATCTCTCAGCAAATTCTGAGTGCCTGGCTAGTAGATTGCAAGTGATCGTGGCTTATGCCTCGACGTATCTGCAATCAGTCGCATGATTCGACATTTTTAAAGGGCCCCCAATGCAGCCCATTGAGCCTCTATAGACCTCGCTGGGTTGTTTTGTAAAATTGTATAATTATTTCCGTTTGCATGTGAATTATTGTTAAATCGAGAAGAGAATGGCTTAGAATTAAAAGCCAACAGCAATGCCGACTTAATGTTATCGCCCAGAGTCGTAACATTGAATCGCAGAGCTCGTCATGGTCTCTCTTGGCAACACAATGTGGCATACTTAGCTTGAAACTGTAAATCAATGAAAATTCAGCTCCATCCTACGGATTTTGAGGAAAAATTAAGGACTGAGTTACTTCAAGTTTTCCATTGAGTGCTTACAGAATGACCTATAAGTTCAACTGGAAAGATATAGGCTCATCAGTTTAATTAGTACTTTTGCTGAAAGCTTATTTCAATTTCCAACTCGTGTCTATCGCTTGTTAACGCTTTTGGAAAGAACCTGGTACTGGTAGTAGTAATACATATCTGTTACATTGTTATCGATCAGGCAGTTGGTTTCTATTCATGTGATAATAATTGCTTTCGATGATTATACAATTATAGCTTGCAAATGCAATAATCAGATACTTTTGTCGTACACAACAAATCAATCGGAAATGCTAAAATATTGAGTTAATCCAATATAGGAAAGCAATCGAATCAACATTTAAATTTGTCATAAAGTTTGAATTTAAGCGTTGCAGAAAAACCGATTCTATGCTAGACTTGAAATACAAGAAATTTAATAGCGATAGACTGCTTCGAATTTCGTGTGACAGTGCCATCAAAGCACAAGTTCGATCTAAGAACCAGATTGACTTGAATTTACTTGTTTATATATATGTATATATATATATATATATTTTTTTTTTTTTTGTTTTTAATTTTGAATTTAGTTTTATTCTATTATGTAATATTCTTCACAAGTTCTTGGCAGAGCCACTAGGCGGGCTGGCGACCAAGGTCTGAGGCTTTGACAATCGATGACATTCAAGCAGCGGCATTCGAGTCAAGGTAGCGTCGCGACGCTGCCAATTGGTGCGCCATGTTGCAATTACATAAGTTGGCAACGCGGCGCGGCTCGTCTAACGGCAATCAATGTTTTCAGAATACAATCGTTAGTTAGTCTTAGCTGCATATACTTGCTGTTGCTGCTTTTTGGCGAGCTATCGAGAAGTTGTCTTTGACCCACTTCTCGGTCGTATAACTGCAGCCAAATGCTCATTTTTGGCGCATTTTATTCGTTTTGGGGGACATGACTCTGAAAAATACTAAGAGGGCGTGGCTAGAATATATGCTTATGTCTTCAAGCTGGCTCAAAAGGGTATCTAATGCTGGCAAAACTTTCATATACATTCATCGAATCGCTAGACTTGTCTAGTAAGAATGACTAAACGTTTTTTTCTTTCTGGGGATTTCTCTCATGATATGCCGAGCATATATTATGCGATCAGACAAAATTCTTAATTCGACTGTGTGTGCGACGAGTTTCAGACTTGTTTCTGGCTCTTCGTTTATATGGGCCATAAATTATAGACTAAACACTATTGAGATTGAGACGGGTTGGAGTCTCTAGTGCTATGAAATTTATATGCATCTTCGTGTAGACTTCTTTGTTAAGATAATTATTTAATTTCCGCAAATCCAAAAGGAAAGCATTTGGGTTGGGTTAGTTGGAGATTCGTGTCAGTTCGGATAAAAACACGTTTATCTCCTTCAACTATCTACATTAAAGAATAATCGTCCGATCAAGCACCCATTGGCACGTGTCACAAATTGGATTACAGATGTCTGTCTATTTCTCTCTAAATAGACTTGTCATGAATTGAAACTATTTCATGCTAATGATTCAGTCTAATTGCTGTGTAATGCAAACAAATTTATTATTCTAAACTGATAAAATGCCAATATAATTTTAAGTCACATATCGCGTGGCGGTCAAGTTCTAAGGAGTGTATTTTAAAATCGTTTTTCTAGCAGACATTTGCATTCATTTGCTACACTTAAGGCGGCGACAGACTTTCGTAAATATTAGTTTTACAAATAGCCGAAGACGAGGAAGAAGCAGAAGCAGAAGCAGCTGTGGTCCCTCGTCTACGTTAAATGACTTAACACAAAATATCCATAAATATAACCAAATATAAAAATAGTTATTTTTATTTTTATTTTTGTTTTGGGCTTTTGGCTTATGGCAACGAGTCGATAGATACACAAAAACTTCTTTGGAAAAAATCTCTCAAGGTTGGCTAGAAAAACCCCGCAGAGAAATAAAAAAATTAATTGAAGCTTGAGCTGGTTGCAAGAGAGAACGTTAGAATTGGTGGTAAGGCGCAATGAAACCAGTTATGAAGTACTTACTATATTGTAGCTACTACTACTGCTGATGGCTGCAATGTGCCACTAATAGACATTAATGGAGAAAAATTAAATATGTTTACATCTTAGGTGATTTGCCTACCCACAAATGAGTTTTACATAGATTTTTGCTGCTTTCGTGTAATAAATTGCATAACAAATTGATGAATTACATTGGGTAGTTAATGCTTAAAGGTATGCAGCGATCGTAAATATTTTGAATAAAATTCTTATAGTATAGGAAAATTTGTCGCTCTGTTGTATTGTATATATAGTATGTATATTATATTGCCAAGGTCTGGTACGGCGTTTCAATAATAATGTCTAAGCACTCGATCGTGTACATGTATATATATGTATGTACGTATACTCGATTCCATGTTAATTCTTGAGCACTTCAACTTAGGTATAATTTAATTTGTACGAAAGCTACCCAGTGGCATAAGTGGGTCTAGTACAATGGACAGAATGAGCTGCTAGAGCATACTATATACTATACAATATACTACAACAATATACTATTAGATTGAGTAGTTATGTACTATATATGTATACTATTAGATTGTATATATTATATCTATGTGTGAAAAAGACAGATGGCTTCACTGGGATCCAGTTGGAAATTGTAAGACGAGCTAGCTAAAATACGATCACAAGATAATTGCTTAGGGTACTCTGAGGTGCTTCTTAGATTAAGTTAGGTTAGGTTGGGGTTTGCATACTATGAACCACTTAATACTCTCATAAAATAGCTTACATAGATGACTTGAGATATGTGAACAACTGTGTCAAGTCGGTTGAAAATAAAAATAAGAGTAAACGAGTAAGAACGTTGCAGTCGGGCGTTAGCAACTGCAGAATACTCATTCACATCCCATCAGCAATTTAGTGGCTATGTTTTTAATTTCCAGCTCTAATACTGTAGAAAATATTTTTGCCGATATGCCACGCCCCTAGTGTCCGCAGACATGTTATTTTTACATTGATCTTTTTAGATTCATAATATTAGCTCTAGGACATATAATTTTACCCGATTTGCCACGCCCCCAATAGATATATTCGCCATAGCTTGTTGATCTTGGGTGGTCGACGCGAATCTACATTCCAAATTTCAGTTTTCTAGCTCTTCAACTAATATGATTTCTGCTATATTGGAAAATTCATTTTCCGATTTGTCACGGCTCTAGTGGGTGATTTAGGATAATTTTAACACTTGTAAATCGGAGATAAATTCGAATATGTTCCAAATCTCAAGGTTCTAGCTTCAATAGCGCCGAGAAAAACGGCGTTCATACGAACAGACGGGCATGCACGCATTCACTATCGTGAATGAGTATAAAAATTGAAGTAGTTACAGCTTGCAGAAGTAGGCTATGTAGGGGTACAATTTGAACAGATTTAGAAAGTAGGCATATAAGGTAACATTCGACTAGGCAAGTTTTAGTAAGTCGGTACCTGGCTCTCTGATTTTTTTCGTCCTCTAAATTTTAAAGGCAGTTGAATTGTGGAGATAAAATCAAAGCAATTGCGCATTGCACTTAGCGCATTTCACACATATTACGCAAAGCCAGCAATATGTCTAGCTCCAGTGGACTGCAGCTCAAGGAGCTGAAGCAACAGATTAGCCCAAAGTGCCGCAGCGAGGAGGATGTCTCCGGCATACCAGAGCAAGTGGATTTGGCTCTGCATGCAAAGCCCGGACTATCGAGGGCTGACTTGACTGATGA